TAATAGCAATCACCACTCTCATCACAACAACACACCCCGACACCACTCCCCCACACCCCACACCAACACCAAACACCAGCCCCCCTCCCACCAACACCACACCCCAACAGCACACACCAAAACCACACCCCAACTCCACAACCCAGCACCACCCACCAACACCACAACCCAGGCACCACACCCAGCACCACACAACCAAACACCACATACCCCAGCACCATAACACAACACACACCCCAACAACCACAGCACCAGCACCACCACCAACAACCACACACCCCAACACCACACCCCAGCACCACAACCCCAACACTCATCACCACCCAACACCACAGCCCCAACACAACACACAACCAACCCAACAACCACAACACACCAACACCACACCCCCCAGCACCATAACACCAACACCACACCCCCAGCACCACACACCAACACCACACCCCAACACCACACCCCAGCAACCAACCCTCAACACCACACCCCAACACACACCCCAACACCACACACCAATACCACACCCCAGCACACACACCACCACACCCCAAACACCACAACATCCAACACCACAACACCAACACCACACCCGCAGCACCACACACCAACACCAGCACCACCAGCACCACACAGCCAACACCACACACCAGCACCACCACACAATCCAACACCACACCCCAACACCACACACCAACACCACACCCCCAGCACCACACACCACCAACACCCCAACACCACACACCAACACCACACACCAACAACCACATCAAACCAACACCACACACCAACACCACACAGAACACCACCACACCCCAGCACCACAGCACCAACACCACACACCAACACCACACCCAACTCCACACACCAACACACACTCCAGCACCAACAACACCACCACCCCCAACACCACACATCCAACACCACACAGCCAACACCACAACCCCAGCACCACACAGCCAACACCACACACAACACCACACTACCAACACCACACACCAACACCACACAACAACAAAAAACCACACACCAACACCACACACCAAACACCACACATCCCCAACACCACATACAACCAACACAAGCACACCAACACCACACCCCAGCAACCACACACCAACACCACACCCCAGCACCACACCCCAACACCACACAACACAGCACCACACACCACACCACACACACACCAACACCACACAACCAAACACCACACACCAGCACCACACAGACCCACACCACACACCAACACCACACAACCAACACTCACCCCCCCAGCACCACACACCAACACCACCACACCAGCACCACACACCAACAACACACACCACCACCACACACCAACAACCCACACAACCAGCACCACACACCAACAACCACACCCCAGCACCACACACCAGCACCACACACCAACACCACACCCCAGCACCACACACCAACACCACACCCAGCACCACACACCAACACCACACCCCATCACCACACCGCCAGCACACCACACACCAAACACAACACCCCAGCACCACACACCAACACCACACCCCAGCACCACACACCGAACGATCCACATACCCCATCACCACACACACAACACCACACCCCAGCACCAAACACCAGAGGGGCAACATCCCCCCAATGAAAAAGCGGGGGTTCACTAGCACTTTAAAGAGACCATACAATAATGTCAGGGGCCCGAGACGGTTAAAACCCCCTCCCAGCATACAAAAGGGGGGATTACCAACAGACCCCTGGCAGTCTTCAAGCGGCACTGGACAAGCACCTAAAGTGGGTTCCTGACCAGCCGGGCTGTGGCTCGTACGTTGGTTTGCGTGCAGCCCAGCAGCAACAGCCTGGTTGATCAGGCTCTGATCCACCAGGGGGCCTGGTCACAGACCGGGGCCGCGGGGGCGTTGACCCCCGGAACTCTCTCCAGGTAAACTCCAGGTAAACACCATCCTTCACCCGCCCCCTCCACGGGCTTTCCTCTCCCCCCACAAACCCGGCAGGAGCCGGCCCGGGGGTGACCTGCCGGCTGTTTTGCTACCAGTAAACGCCAGATACATTCGATTACAAGGCAAGCAGACTGTCGTGGAGAGAGGGAAACGAGAGGTGAGGAGTGGGGTGCAAGTTGAGGGTGAGTGGAGGTGGGGTGCTAGGTGAGGGCAGAGTGAAGGTTGGAGGGTGGAATGGAGAGTAGAGAGTAGCCAGGGTGTCTGAGGTCAGTGTAACTGTACTCACCTATTTGGGGTTCAGGGGTCGAGTCACCAACTCTGGCCCCCGTCTCTTTGCTGGTCACGAAGAGAGAGTTGCTGAGAAGAAATAGTAACGGGTAATATATAGTACATGGAGTGTAGGGGAGGGTGTGTCTGCATGGCGTATATACACAGAGTATATTTAATAGTGAGTAATACAGGCAGTGCTTATATAATGGGTGTATATACAGGTGTGTTTATACATTGTGTGTATATATATATATATATATATATATTTTATATTTATATATATATATATATATAATATATATATATATATATATATTATAAAAATATTGGGGTATGCAGAGTGTGTGCTTATATAATGGGCAAGGCCGTCTGGTGCTAGCCTGGTCAACCAGGCTTTTGCTGCGGTGGCTCGCTGGCCCACATCCATCACACCTGGTTGATCTGGCACCTGGGAAGATACTCGTCCAGTTTACTCTTGAAGACACTAAACTTGTTCCAGCCGTGTTTCTGATATCTTCCTGTAAGATGTTGAATATTGGCGCCACGGATGTTGATCGGGAAAAAAAGTTAACACGTATTACTTGTGTAGTATACATACATGTATCCCAGGTACGTTTATAGGCAGGTTTCCCTGACCAAGTGTTAGCCCACGACTGTACAAGTCATGAACAGGAACTCTTGTAAATAATGATGTAACGTCAAAACTAACCGAGTTCTCAACTTGATATCATTATAGTAAGTGTGTTGAGATCAATTTTAGTCTTTAAGACCACTGTTTTCAAACTTGGCCTCTGTACATAACTGAGCCAGTGAAAGTATTCACGGGGCCCGGTCTCCATTTTTTCCCGTTTTTTCTTCCATTTTGATTAAACCATTGCATAATGATAATGCTACGCTCGTTATCGTGAATTTTTTTTTCTGTAATTCGCCTCAGCGAGAGATCATGCAAGCACTTGGATTATTGCAACTTTTAGCTGTGGTTATGTTGCATACGCTAGAAAACTTACCTAACCTTATTATTACCAAGCGCAACATTATTTAGCCCAATCCAACTAAATATATTTTTGAAAAGTTTACAATAATTTAATAATAAAAAAACCAATGAAATATTATTTTTTGTCGTTAAGTTCCCGAATTAATTTTGCGAAATTATTACATACACAAATTTTTGCTTGTCCTATATGGCAGATAAGCGTTGCTGTTTTGTCATAATCGCAAGTATTATCTATTCGGCACTACATACATATATATATAATATATTTTATATATTATATATATTATTTATATATTTATAATATATATATAACACACACACATATACACAGGAAATGTGTGAGTGTGGTGCCGGCCAACAGGTTATTAGTGCCACGTCTCCACAAGAGCCACACTCCTTCCCTCAGTGCCAATTTAGGCTGTGTGCTATAACTGGTGTTCTGAGGTTATGAGGTGTGGCACCTTCCCCTATACTAGTGAGGTGTGCCACCTTCCCCTATACTAGTGAGGTGTGCCACCTTCCCCTATACTAGTGAGGTGATGCCACCTTTCCCCATACTAGTGAGGTGTGCCACCTTCTCCTATACTAGTGAGGTGTGCCACCTTCTCCTATACTAGTGAGGTGTGCCACCTTCCCCTATACTAGTGAGGTGTGCCACCTTCCCCTATACTAGTGAGGTGTGCCACCTTCCCCTATACTAGTGAGGTGTGCCACCTTCCCCTATACTAGTGAGGTGTGCACCTTCCCCTATACTAGTGAGGTGTGCCACCTTCCCCTAACTAGTGAGGGTGTGCCACCTTCCCCTATACTAGTGAGGTGTGCCACCTTCCCTATACTAGTGAGTGTGCCACCTTCCCCTTTATAGTGAGGTGTGCCACCTTCCCCTATACAGTGAGGTGTGCCACCTTCCCCTATACTAGTGAGGTGTGCCACCTTCCCCTATACTAGTGAGGTGTGCCACCTTCCCCTATACTAGTGAGGTGGGCCACTTCCCCTATACTAGTGAGGTGTGCCACCTTCCCCTATATAGTGAGGTGTGCCACCTTCCCCTATACTAGTGAGGTTTGCTATCTATCTAGGTGTTGTTCCCAAAAATGTATACATGTAGAATATCAACACGTGCCTCTGTGGTTTAGTTGTGGGATGTTGTGGGTGTGGGGGGACTGTTGTGGGTGTGGGGGGACTGTTGTGGGTGTGGGGGGACTGTTTGTGGGTGTTGGGGGGACTGGTGTTTCCAGTCACCTCTATACCCCAGCTTGTGTGGACCCCTCAAGACCCCAGCTGGTGGCAGGTGGGGGGGACCCCAACAAACGGTTAGGGGACCATATTGATGCAGTCTTAGTAAGGGAGGGAGGGGAAGGGAGGAGATGAGGTGGGGTGACACAGGTATTGACCGCAGCCGCGTGTTGGCTCTGCTTAACTCCCCTCTATGGTGTGTATTCTTTCATCACCTCCTCATCACCCCTCTTCACCCCCCTCTTCTTACATCATTCTTCACTCATTGTAAACCCCTTACATGCCTCTCACCCCTCACCATTCCTCACTTGCTGCCTCACACTAAACCCTCAAATGTTCAACACAAAAAAATAATATTGCTTTTTCCTGGTGTGAATTCTCTCTCTCTCTCTCTCTCTCTCTCTCTCTCTCTCTCTCTCTCTCTCTCTCTCTCTCTCTCTCTCTCTCTCACTCACACACACACACCACCACACACACACACACACACACACACACACACACACACACACACCAGCAATTTCGTGACGCACCTTGTTACTACTGTGTTTGTGTTGCAGGGGAGGAAGATGATCTGCAACACAAGCCTCTCCCTCGCCACCATCACCGCCACAAGGGTATGTATAAACCACACATTAAACTAAGTTATTTACCATGATGATACATAAGCACTGTATGAGGTATGTATTGATAAGGGATACTTGCTATGT